GGGAGGAAGCGTGGCCTCTACCCTTTCAGCACCTGGCTTACGGTAACCTCCCTGGAAGTTTGCGACCTGTATACTAGGTCACGGAGCTGCGCGCATGCACACGCAGGCACCTAGTCCTTTCCGAGCATCCACCCTTTTATAGATGTTATTCTTGTCCTGGGTTGTCAATGAAAGAAGACATTTCGGGTCTCCATCTACCCCTGCCTGGACAAAGGAAGCCCTGAGTCTTGCGTGGCCAGGAACTAAAAATTACAGATTCACTTCCCGCTTGCCCTGCGCCCTTTTCTTGCTACTCAGCGCGGCTCTGAGGTGACAGGTGGGCTGACCCTTCGGGGTAACCAAGAGCAGGTGCTGGCAAGCATTCTCCTGTGTAAGTAATTAGGGGGACGGCCCAGCTTGGGGACTTGGGGAATGACATTAAATTATCCCATCACATAAACTTCCTGTGAAGGGCTGCTCCTACCAGAGCAACTCTCCAATTAGTTCAATTGTGTGCACAGGCAATGGAGATCACTTTATCTTTAAAACATAATCGAAAAACAAATGATCTTTTTATTTATTGTAGGAAGTATTTTTCTGCTAAGGAGGGGGCTGAATTAGAGGTACTGCATTCACCGAATCTCTACTCAGAAACCCCCCAACTAAGAGGGAAGAAGAAAGCAATCCGATGAGTCTCGGCCACCCAGACGTTAGGTCCGCGCCTCCTCCCTCCGCTTAAAAGCCACACTGAAGACAAGAACTACCTTCCGAGCTGAGAGTCGAAGGTTTGATAACGAATAACCGTTACTGAGATCGATATATCCTCCTCTACCCTTGGACTCCTGGTCTATGCTAACGAGGCCATTTGTAGCACTGCAGGCATGTATCTCAACAGCCCAAAGACACCCCCACACGGACTTTGTTGCAGTTGTTTGTGATTTCGGTCTAGTGGGGAGTTTTCAAATCTCATTAGCAGAATAAATGCCTTAATCTCCCAATTCGTGTCCTGGCAGAGAAGGGGTAGATGGTAGGGTGCCTGCGGAGTGCAGCCTCCCTCCTGGCTTTGCAGCCTCCCTTCTGCGTTTGCTGCACCTTCCAGAGCAGGAGAAGCCCCTTCCCTCCTCTTTTAAGCCCGCCTTTCCTGTTTTCCGCAGCTCCTGGGCCAAGCGAGGCCCCCGGAAACCCTCGCGAGGGCGTCCTAGACCCTCGACGGGCCGGTTTCCTGGGCGAAGCCGAGAGCCAAAAGCTGGATACGTCTGAAGAGCAGACTAGGAGGGAGTCTGGGCAGGTCACAGGGGTGATCGGGCTGCCGGGATCGGGGTGACGCTGGAAACTCCCTGAGGGATCTCTGACGGAGAGAACAATTTGTTCACCCTGGGCTGGGCTCAGACGCCTCCAGAGTCACTTCTTGAACTCGGAGCTCTCCCGACCCTTATTCCCTTATTATTATTGACTTGAATAAAAAGAAAAGAGAAAGACTCCTCTGGCTCCTGGTGACCTGCATTAGGGCACCATCTCTCCTCCCCAACTCCTCCCAACACATACATTCCTGCGGTGTCCCCACGTTCCCAAATCCAGGCATTTCCTGGAGTGCTGGCCACATCTCCCTGGTGCTTTTCTACAGTAGGGGCCCCGGGGAGGCCTTGTTTTAAATATCGCTGTGACGTCACGCCCCCTCCTCAGAGCCATGAACCGGTCAATGGGCCCCGGGAATTGTAACCCCACCTGGCAGGTCAAGGAGGGGTTGGGGGTTGTGGGGCGGGCCAAACAGTTACACCAAACATCCATTACCGCTGTCGCCCGCAGGACCTTCAGGCTGCAACTATGGGACCCGTCAGAAAAAAAGCCCAAGTTTTCCTGCGGGGGCATTTCTGCCAATTGAGTCAAGAGTTGTTCAGGAGAGGGATGATTGAACTACCCCGAGGAGCAGCAAAACGGAGCATCAAAAACTTTAATCTGAAAAATAAAAACTTTAACCCATTCCCCCAAAGACTTTATTTCTGCACCTTAACGTTAAAATAACACCGCTAGCAACAATAGTAAAATAGGCAAAGTACTTGAAATATAATCAAGCCGTTTACTGGAGGTTTGCTTCCGAGTAAGCTTATAAAACACAAATGCAAATATCTTTTCCTGGCGAATATCCAGGGCTAAACCAGTGGAAAGTTGATCTTTATAAAACTGCACCTCTCCATTTTTTTTCGCATGCCAGATAGTAATTTCACAACGGCAACTTTTATATCCAAAGCGGGGAGCCCAGAACACCCCTGCTGTTCGATTTGCAATTTACATAACAAGCTGTTTACATTTCTCCGGGCTGATGAGGGAGAGAGCGGGGACAGTGAGCAGGCGGAGACAGTGAAGCACAACTGTCCATTGCAACACCCGGGGCCGCTGGATTTTCACACATTAGGAAAACAAACGAGTCGCTATTGCTGCGTTTTTCTCCAAACACTGCGAGCAGTGGAGGTGCAATTTAAAGTCCAAATTCACCGAATGCTGGGGTGTTTAGGGAGACCACTTTAATTGGTCTCCAGGCTGAAGCCAGAACACCCCCTTAAAGCCTCAGGCAAAGGGGCTGCTTATGTCAGGGGACAGGGCTTGGAATGGGATACAAATTCATTTTTCAAGTTGGGGATCTTCCCTCCCCTTCCTCCCCCTGCTAGTGTTTAGGGACCATCAAGTACTGAGCCTCCTGCTGATAAATCAGGAGTTTCTTCCAATCCAAGACCCCCAGCCTTTCGAACACTCTGGAAGAGGAGTTTCAAGTGTCCCAAGAGAACAGCAGGCCAAGAGGCAACTGCCACAGGAATCAGAACTTCCCCAGGCTAGTTCTAGAAGGAGCAGGTCCTCTTCTCTCCATAGAAATGTCCATTTTGAAACACACTGTTTTTTTTTTTGAATGTGCAAGTGACACGGAGCTGAGCCTGCTACACAAGATAGCGCCTTGACATCTAACAACTGAAGCTACATGGAGAATGCCAGGATTCCCACTGGGAAGCCAAAAGGGGTTCCCAACACGTCCTTGCCACTAAAGATTGTGAGAAATTGGGGGAGTGGGGGTGTTAAATGAGACACACTACTCTTCTTCACAATTCCCTAAACTTGCCAGTTTCTCCAGCTTCTAGTAAATGATCCAGTGTTCAGTCTTCAGGGGGGTCTTTTCTAGAGTTGCCAAAATACAGAAATGTGCTGCAGGCACAGGGAGGCCAATCTTTTTCTTGCTCATTCGTTTCCTTTCCTCTCTCGTCTTCCCATCCCATTTCCAGTCACTCAGAAATTGCAAATCTCTGGCGTGCACAAGGGTGGCTTTCTGTGCTTACACCCCCCACCTCACTCCGAATCCCTGAGCCATTCTGCAGGTGCGATTCTGAACATTTCCCCCAGAACACCGTTATCTCTGAAAGCCCGCAGCCCCGCGCGTGTGGAGATGGAGGTTAAACCGAGACGCGTTAAGTTCTTGGACGTGTTTATTTGCTTCTTGTCATCACACCTGCTAATGTCACTGAGCCCGAAGCGTGACCCTTCCTGTGAGCAGAAACATGCCGGACCAGACAAGACCGGCGGCCAGTGGCAAACCTTAGGGATCAGGTATGCACCCCCCCCCTCCCCGCCACAGGGGAGGGCGGAAAGCCTCCTGGACTCAGCAGCCTGAGCCTCGAGCACCCTCGGGCCACCAAGGGCCCTTAGGGAACGAGGAGCAGGGTGTCTTGAAGCGGGGCGGGCGGGGCCTACCTGGACAGCGTTCCGACAAGGCCCCATATACCCTCCCTTATTTCTACTGGGTAGGGGTCACGGGGAAGACGAGGTGCGGCGACAATCCTTCCCCACCGGGAACAGCATGGCTGGGACTGAGCCTCTAAAACCGTGTCTTTTGTAACCCAGCTCCAGACAAGAGAAACTCCAGGTGAGGGTCAAATGAACACAACTATGAACCGAGTGAGAGTGGCGACGGGAGGGAAGAGGTGGAAAGAGAGAAAAGGTGAGGGGAAAGGAGGAGGGGAAGAGAGGCCCAGGAAATCCTGGCGTCGGAGCCAGCCAGATCCGCCACGGAATTGGAGAGAGCCAGTTGGGGCTCGGGGACTCGGTGACATCTGTGAGCGATGGACAGAGGAAGGGTCTGCCTGAGGTCCAGGAGGACCCAGGAAGTCTGCGGGACCCACGGACGCCTGTGCAGAGAGCTAGGGGTGGGAGATAGTACGGGCGGCCGCGGCGGTGGGCATCTGGGACTCGGGGCCGAGCTCGCCGTGGGTGCGGGCCTGGCGCGGGCAGGGGAAGGGGCGCGGGCTCCGAACGGCCGGCGCGCGTGTGGTCAGCCCGGCGGTCCTCCCGCAGCTGGGCGCGGGCCGGTAGGGTTCGGCCTCCGGCTCATTCAGAGGCGGTTCTCGCCTACCATTGGCTGCTGCGGCTGTGGTGGGGCGGGGCTCCGCTGCCCGGAAAAAATGTAACTGCGTAAAAAAGTCCTCGCCTGGGTGACGGATGCTCAAAAGTTCAGAAGTTTTCCCAATGCTTCCTTAAGCGGCCGGCGCGGGAGAGAGACTGAAAAAAAGGTGACGCGGGGCCCAAGAAGGCGGCCGGCGCGCTGCCCCCCGCCCCTAGTTATTTGGCCGCCTTGGCGGGCGGCTCAGGGCAGAGTCTCCTGGAAGGCGCAGACAGTGTAGCGAGAAGGGCGCTTTCTTGTTTTCTAGTTTTGGCTCTGTTTCGCCGTCCTCGCCTGGAAGTTGCTCCGCGGGTTCCTCCAAGGCCGTTTGCCGCGTCCTCGTGCGGCCCTCTCCCCTAGCATCGACCCCGAAGTGGCCCGGGGCGCCCCAGGAGCGCGAGCGAGCGCAGGGGGAGGCCGCGCGCGGCCGGCGGCTCCGGGCGGCGGCGGCGGCCGAGCCGGACTCAGCGCAGCGGCCCGGCACCAGCTCTGTGGGGCCCGGACTCGGACTGGGAAGCCGGCGCGGCGTGGCCGGCCTAGGGAGGGTGGGGGGGCGGCGGGAGGCGCGGGGCGGCGGCGGCGGCGGCGGCGAGCGGGGGCCATGCAGGCGCGCTACTCCGTGTCCAGCCCCAACTCCCTGGGAGTGGTGCCCTACCTAGGCGGAGAGCAGAGCTACTACCGCGCGGCGGCCGCGGCGGCCGGGGGCGGCTACACCGCCATGCCGGCCCCCATGAGCGTGTACTCGCACCCAGCGCACGCCGAACAGTACCCGGGCGGCATGGCCCGCGCCTACGGGCCCTACACGCCGCAGCCGCAGCCCAAGGACATGGTGAAGCCTCCCTACAGCTACATCGCGCTCATCACCATGGCCATCCAGAACGCCCCCGACAAGAAGATAACCCTCAATGGCATCTACCAGTTCATCATGGACCGCTTCCCCTTCTACCGGGACAATAAACAAGGCTGGCAGAACAGCATCCGCCACAACCTCTCGCTGAACGAGTGCTTCGTCAAGGTGCCCCGCGACGACAAGAAACCGGGCAAGGGCAGCTACTGGACGCTGGACCCGGACTCGTACAACATGTTCGAGAACGGCAGCTTCCTGCGGCGGCGCCGGCGCTTCAAGAAGAAGGACGCCGTGAAGGACAAGGAGGAGAAAGACCGGCTGCACCTCAAGGAGCCGCCGCCGCCGCAGCCCGGCCGCCAGCCCCCGCCCGCGCCGCCGGAGCAGGCGGACGGCGCCGCGCCCGGACCGCAGCCGCCGCCCGTGCGCATTCAGGACATCAAAACCGAGAACGGTACGTGTCCCTCGCCGCCCCAGCCCCTGTCCCCGGCTGCCGCCCTGGGCAGCGGCAGCGCCGCCGCAGTGCCCAAAATCGAAAGCCCCGACAGCAGTAGCAGCAGCCTGTCGAGTGGGAGCAGCCCCCCGGGCAGCCTGCCTTCGGCGCGGCCGCTGAGCCTGGACGGCGCGGAGCCCGCGCCGCCGCCGCCGCCCGCCCAGCCCGCGCCGCCGCCGCCGCACCACAGCCAGGGCTTCAGCGTGGACAACATCATGACGTCGCTGCGGGGGTCGCCGCAGGGCACGGCCGCGGAGCTCGGCTCCGGCCTCCTGGCCTCGGCGGCCGGCTCCTCGCGCTCGGGCATCGCACCCCCGCTGGCGCTCGGCGCCTACTCGCCAGGCCAGAGCTCCCTCTACAGCTCCCCCTGCAGCCAGAGCTCCAGCGCCGGCAGCTCGGGAGGGGGCGGCGGCGGCGGGGGCGGCGGCGGCGGCGCGGCGGGTGCCGGGACCTACCACTGCAACCTGCAGGCCATGAGCCTGTACGCGGCCGGAGAGCGCGGCGGCCACTTGCAGGGCGCGCCGGGGAGCGCGGGCGGCTCAGCGGTGGACGACCCCCTGCCCGACTACTCTCTGCCCCCAGTCACCAGCAGCAGCTCCTCGTCCCTGAGTCACGGCGGCGGCGGCCAGGAGACTGGCCACCACCCTGCGGCCCACCAAGGCCGCCTCACCTCGTGGTACCTGAACCAGGCGGGCGGAGACCTGGGCCACTTGGCGAGCGCGGCGGCGGCGGCGGCGGCCGCGGGCTACCCGGGCCAGCAGCAGAACTTCCATTCTGTGCGGGAGATGTTCGAGTCACAGAGGATCGGCTTGAACAACTCTCCTGTGAACGGGAATAGTAGCTGTCAGATGGCCTTCCCTTCCAGCCAGTCTTTGTACCGCACGTCTGGGGCTTTCGTCTACGACTGTAGTAAGTTTTGACACCCCGTCCACCCTCCCCTCAAAATCGAAATGAATCGAACTCCAAAGCAGATCCAGCCAAAAGAACCATCAATACAAAATCGAAACCAAAAAAAAAAAAAAAAAAAAAGAGGAAAAGGAAAAAAGAAAAAAAAAAAAAGAAAAAAAGGAAAAAAAATCCAATTTAAAATAAACTTGAAAAACATTCACCAAATGAGCGAACAGAATCCCTCCAAAACTTCAACTCAACCAGCACAAAGAAAACTATTTTCTTAAAAGATTCAGAGCCACCTTCACTTTGCCTTATCTAAATAAACAAAACGGTAAACTATTTTGTACAGAGACAGCAAAATCATGGTTTATTAAAGGACAGTGTTACTCCAGATAACACGTAAGTTTCTTCTTGCTTTTCAGAGATCACGCTTTCCTCCTTTCTCTCCCATTCGCCTACCCTTCTCTTTCCTTCACCTCTCACTTGTAAGATATTATTTTATCCTATGTTGAAAGGAGGGGGAAAGTCCCCATATATGAAAATCGCTTTCTTTTTATTCATGGACTTGTTTTAAAATGTAAATTGCAATATAGTAATTTATTTTTAATTTGTAGTTGGATGTCGTGGACCAAACGCCAGAAAGTGTTTCCAAAACCTGACGTTAAATTGCCTGAAACTTTAAATTGTGCTTTTTTTTCATTATAAAAAGGGAAACTGTATTAATCTTATTCTATCATCTTTTTTTCTTTTTGTTGAACATATTCATTGTTTGTTTATTAATAAATTACCATTCAGTTTGAATGAGATCTATATGTCTGGATACTTTAATACAGCCTTAATTATTATAAGAAAAAAGATTTCAGATTAAAACACTAGAAATTACCTATTCTCCTCCTAAATATCTGCTAAATGGAGAAGCCCTCTGACTATTCCTTGTCAAATTTCACATAAAAGTCTCTTTTTGTTTAGATATTTTTTCTTCCTGCAGCATCTTCTGCAAAATGTACTATATAGTCAGCTTGCTTTGTGGCTAGTCAAAAGATATTTTCCTAAACAGATCTGAGTTGGCATATACGCAAATATATATATATATTTTTTTAGTAAAGGCATAACATGATCTGGAAATTTTAAGCCCTGAATCAGCAGTGTTATTACCACAGGGTTACCTGTGTGTAGAGTTATGTGAATGTGCCTCAAGACATATATAGAGGAATATTTGGCTTGTGCATCATATTAAAAATCATGATGTGTGTTATACATCTCTGTGAGCCAAATGCTGATAGTTATTTCTCCTATTAATTTCACTCCTTTGTAAGAAGAAAAATAAACCCGTTTATAAATGTATGTATATAATTCATCCACATTTACAATCCTTCATGCAATACAAAGAAGGGTTGATTTAAAAATATATATATACTGTGGGTTGGAAAGGGATATTTAATCTTTGGGAAACTTTTAGAAGATATGTTTGTAGAACAATTATTTTTTTGAAAAAGATTTAAAGCAATAAGAAGGAAGGAGAGAAGAGCAGAACATTTTAGTCTAGGGTGGTTTCTTTTCAATCCATTTTTTCTTGTTAATTTACAGTTAAACCTAGGGGACAATCCAGATTGGCCCTCCCCCCTTTGTAAATAACCCAGGAAATGTAATAAATTCATTATCTTAGGGTGATCTGCCCTGTCAATCAGACTTTGGAGAGATGGCGATTTGATTACAGACATTCAGGGCCTTTCAGTTTGTTTTCGAGATAATACAGTTTCCTGCTATCTGCCGCTCCTATCTAGAGGCAACACTTAGCAGTAATTGCTATTGCTTGTTGTCAAAATTTGATCATTGTTAAAGGATTGCTGCAAATAAATACACTCTAATTTCAGTCAAAAACTGCTTTACGTGGCCTCTGATTTGCTGGGTCTCCTCCTTCAGAGTCGTAACCTAATAGCTAGGGAAGATTGCAGTGGCCCAGGGCGCGGGTGTCTCTCTGGGTCAGGCCGGCTGGGACTCGCCTTACTGCTGCGTTTAACTCCCGCTCGGCTCTCTCCGCCCTAGGCCCTGGAACTGCCTCCGGTTACCCCTTGGGGTGGGTGGTGAAGGGAAAGAATCCATTGACAGATCTCATAGAGTTTGTGCGTTGGTCCACTTTGGGGAGCCGAGCTTGGAGCCAGGATTTGCCTACAAAGGGTGCAGTGGCTGGAGCTGGGTTGTCTAGGCCCGGATGGAAGGCAGCAGCAGGTGACCAACGGAATGGCCCTATCTGTTCGGACTGGCGGCCGATCCCAAGGTCCGGCAGTTCGGGCAGCCAGAGACCGTACCTTTCTCGACTTCACTGGTTTCAACCTTTTGGACTGGGGACATGGCGAGGGTAGGGCTGTGGGCCACCCCAGACTTTCCTGCTGGGGCGTTTCTTCGCGGCCCTGGTCCTGCCGAGTAACTCCTGGCCCGACGCCGGCCTCTGGGACGCGGCTCCCGGACGGGAACGCTCTGCAGCTAATTAGCTGTAATTACCCGCCGCGGCCTGGGCCCTGCTTCTGTTTGTGTTTGGAGCTCCTTCCTCCCGCCCCCACCCCCCCCCCCCCCCCCCCCCCACGCCTACCCGAGCCCCGCCGTCTCCCCTGCCCGGCTTCTCGCTCTCCTCGCCGCTGCCTCCCCCCAAAAGAAGTTGTCTGGGGAGCAGAGGGCCCGAGGAGACCTCTGTTAGGTGTGATGGATGAATCACAAGTCGGGTCGTAGGTGCCAGGAAGACCACGCTGAGCAGAAAATGGCCAAGAGCGGGGCTGTTTGTGGCGGGACGAGGGTCGCGGAGCCAGGAGGAGCGCTTTCCCGCCCTTGCGGCGGGGCCGGCGGAGCCCGGGGAAAGCAGCCTGACTCACTCCTCCTCCCGCAACTCCGCCTCCCGCCACCCGGCCTACAATACTCCCGATTTATACTCCTCTCGCGCCGCCTTTGTTGTGAAGACACACGTGTGTTTAGGCGCTCAGCCGGGGTAGAACGGTCGCCGGCACTCCTTCGCGCCCGGGTGACAGCGCGTCCCGCAGCCTCGGCGGCAGCACTGTGTGAGGGACAACTCCCGCCCCGCCCCGCCGCGGCCTGGTCGCCTGGTTGCGCCGGACCTGCCCCGGCCGGCGCTGGGGCCCCAGGCGGCCTCCCCGCCTGGGCTGCGTACTCGCGCGGCGTGTGCGGTCGGTTTACAGAGGCCACAAATCACTTGGCGGTGGCCGGAGCGGGGAGTCGCTGGGCCTGAGGGACTCGGGAGATATGCAAGCGGGCAGCGGGTTCGTAGTGTCCTGGGTCCACGTGCTCGCACCCCTCTGCTTCTGGGCTTTGAGGCCAGAGCATGTCGCGTCCTCAGCCAGCCTGGGCCTACCCCAGCCTGGCTCTTGAGGGCTCGACCGCGCTGCTGCGAGGGATGGGATGAGGGACAGTGAGGCCGGCGAGCGGGGAGGGCGGCCTGACCCGTGTGGCCGCCTCTGCCCTCGCGCCCCGAGGGAGCGCACGCTGCCTGGAGCCGGCCTTTGGAGGGTGAGCATGGAGGTGGGGGGTGGGGGGGGAGAACCGGCTCGCTCGGGGGCCGGGGTTGGAGACTCTTCCCGACTTCTCCAGAATGCGGAGTGGGCAGCGGGCACCCCTTGCTCTTCCTTTCTTGGGGTCTGACTTCCTGCATTTGGAGAAGGATCCCGGCATTAGTGCGGTGCTCGGACTTAGGTGGCAGGCGAGTTCTTCTCCTAAGCTCCTGGGAGTGTTTACACGTTTGCCCTGGGACAAACTTCTTACCAATCGGTATTGCCCTCTTTGATTGCGACCTTTGAAAATTAGGCATGGGAGATATATATGTCTAGGAAGGTGTTTGTGTTATACAAACATAGTTATTTCTACAGGAGTTGCCTTAAGTCACAGCTCAGAAGCTATGTTTGAGTGGAAGGTCAGAAGTTCTGCTCATTATTCTGATGTTTTAAAACACATAGGTAATGTTTTCTACTCTCAATACATGTGCTTTTGGCTTCTTGTTCAATTTAAGAAAAACAGCTATCGCTGACCTTATTTAATCTGGGGGAGCTACTTGTTCCTTAGTGGTATTGCACTTTTTCAGCAATAAAGATATTTTTTCTGTAAAATATAAGAAAAACTTCTTGCTATTTTAGCTAACAGACAGTACATTTTGGAATTAGCCTTGGACACAGGGCAGGATCTAGTGGCCGAGACTTGGCTAATTATGAAATTAGCCTCTGTAGAAAGCTTTGGGATAGTAAGTATTTTGTTCTTTATGTCGCAGTGGGTGCATTTATTTTCTTACCAATTTATACAGTGAGCAAGTAAATGCCAGCATGTTACATGCCATATAAAAAACTTGCATTTTGGCATATTGCACGTGTGGTAGGAAGGCGTGCTGTTTTCCAGGGTTATGTAGTTAGCAGGCCTTTTTTCACCAGACTGCATGCAAACAAGCATGCATTTTACAATTTATCATTCCACACAGTTTGTGTCATTAATAATCGATGTTTGTAGAGGAATAAGGCTCAATTGTGCTGGTGGTCTGTAAGCTCTTGGCTGTTTCCTGCGGGGGTCAGAAACAAGGGTCAGGCAACAAGAGTGTCTTATAGGCCTATTGGGCTCCCCTTAACTTTGATAGGTAAAGAAGAGACTTGGGACCTTTTCTCTCCCACCCTGTTCTCTGGGGAAGGGGTCTCGGTTTTAAGATGGAGGGCCTTTAGTTTTGTTCTTCACGGGCACAAAATTCCAGAGAGGCCTTGAACCCTCTGCTAGTCTAGGCTGCCTGGCCAGGTTGCCCAGGAGGGACAGGAGGCATCCATAGTGTGCCCAGGTCCTGGACACCCATACCTGCGTTCTCCCCAGCTGTTAGCGGCACTGGAAACAAGACTGGTTGGAGCAGTTCTTTCTACACTCACCTCACATCCTAAAGCTTCTGGAGAGAGGCCCCCTTTGCTTCTGAACCCAGTTCCTACTACTGGATCCTGATTGCTGTCCCAGAGCCTTCTCTTTATACTCCTCTCAACTCATTTCAGAGTGGGTTCATGAAGCCATTAGCCCTTCCCATCAGGTCATAAACAAATGTCATGTTAAGGGCAAGATTGATAGTGGCCATGTAATAAAGCTGGCCAGGCAGGTTAAATTCTGTGCGGGCA